CCAATTTCCAGCTAAGAAAGAGCCGGCTTCAGCACAGCATTGAGCAGACTATACCAATCAAAGTAAGTTGTTAGTTGCATTGCCTACTGAGTAAGGACCTGCCCAAAGTAAGATGAATCTGGGCCCAACTCATTAGCCACCTTTCGGATAAGGGAGAGTTCAGCTATGGGGGTGGGAATCCAGGGCTACTGGTTAATGGCATTTTGTTAGTGTTTTTACAGATACAAAGTCTCTGGTTTTCAACTCATTATTTTAATAGCTCTTTAATACATTATTAGGTACCATTAAATTATCCTGTTCTTAATTTAATTGAACAAAATGAAAACCAGCAAAAAGATTAGCTTTAATATACAAACATGCATGTTTATGGGACCAAGGTGACTATGGCTATCCCTCTGGAACTCCACACTCCATGCCCTTTTTGTGCATAATGCTTTTACAAATATGAGGTCTTCTATATTTATACTTTAGTTTATAGATAGTTGAGCTGTTTTCTTGAACTTGATCTACTTCTAATGTTTGGGTAATGAAACAAAGAGTTTGTAATGCATTGCAGAAATTAGGGGTACTGAGCACTGAAAGCTCCTAACTTTGCCCCCTTGAGTACCAGTTGCTAAGCTATGCCAGGGAAACTTTAGATTAACAAGGAATGCCCTGCTTAGGTATTCCCAGATACATTGTAATATTTTCATGGACCTAATTTGTGTGAAGTGATGAGGTCAAGACAGAAGGGGGATGTAGCATGAATAATAAAAACTCAGAGACAGATATCGGGGTTAAAGCTGAAGATCAGAGAAGCAAGGTGGCCAGCCACTTGAGAGTTCTCACCTCTTCCAGTGTTCAGACCCAAGGGAAGATCCACTGAACCTCAGACTCGACTGCATTGCTCCTAAGATTCACAGAGACTGTACTGAGCCGCTGCATTGTTTTTTCTGTAGTGCTGGGACTAAAGGTGTGAGCTCTATTTCTCCTTTAGACTGATTTACTCTGATGTTGTTCAGGGTGGCTTTGAACTTACAGAGATCCATCTGCCTCCTGAGTGCTGGGATTAAAGATGTGACCATCACTGCCTGTCCTCTGTGGATAACTACTGGCTTAGCTCTTAACTAGATGTTTGGCTAACTAGTGGTTTAGCTCTGTCTGAACTCTGATCTTTATTTAGGCAAGCTTTATTAGATCATAAATGAAATATAACCACAGGAAAATGTTGAGACATATTTTGTTGCATCTACCCATGTGTGTGTGACAAAAAGTAGATTTTTTTGTTTGTTTGTTTTGTTTTTGGTCAGTTTATGTAGTATCTTCTTTGATAATGTAGTTCTAGATATGTATGCTTCTCAGCTATTTGAAGGCAGCCAAACTGTAAGTCTAATTGTTGTCAGTCAGTTCCAAGCATTTTAAGTTTGCACCTGTGATAGCAATTGTTCTCTTTTTTTGCCAGTAAAGACACTAGGGAATATAAAACCCTGCATTTCTTCTATTTGTTTAATGCTTATCATTCTGTTCATTGTCTTTTTAGTGACTACCCTTTTCCCAACTGTCTAAATATTCTCTCACATTCCTGTCAGAAATGTGACTGGAGCCTAGGTTTAAGAATTGTAATGTCTATTCTCTCCTTGCTTATTGGTTCTTTGGCATACATTGTGAAGAATTAAAATGACTAAGCCGATTATCATTATTGCTTTTCAAATCCAGATCCTAAAGGAAATAACTTCTCATTATGTATTAGGATCATATCTCGATCCCCAAATGCTGTATTGCTTTGCTGTGATACAGTAAACATACATTTGTAATCATATTTTCATGCTTTGAAAACATCATTTTTTATACTCAGTTGTATAAACTTTATTAATTGGATATTTATGTACTCATGTATTTCATATGAGAATATAGATTCATATTTTCCTGTAAAGCTTGAGTCTGATGTTATTTTCCAATGCATAAATTAAAATAATTCCTTTGTGTAGTTATAATTTTATATTTGAAATAAGGGACCCCACAAGTAACTAGTGTATAGAAACTATTGGCAAGTTTTTTTCTGAAAAGCTTGTTAAAACTATCTAACCAAGCTAACCATAAAGTACCATTGTTTTCTTAGCTCTGGTTACATTAAATAGAATTAGGAAGAAATACTTACCTAATTGAAAATGATCCTTTGAATTTCCCTGAATTTTAAGGTTAGTACCTTTTAATCCCACAATTCTTGTTGTGATGTAAGCAACAGAAATAGGACTATTTGAGTGACTGAGGAAGTCTTACAGTCTTTTCCCTTTGGATGTTTCATGTTTTGTTTTAGGTTTGGGTTTTTTTGTTTTTTTTTTTTTTTCCTTCTCCTCCATGCCCCCAAGATACAGTTTCTGTGTTTTAGTCTTGGCTGTCCTGGAACTCATGCTGTAGATCAGGCTGGCCTCGAACTCACAGAGATCTGCTTTCCTCTGTCTTTTAAGTGTTGGGATTAAAGGCATGCACTACCATTGCCCAGCCTTTTTGCTTTGATTTTGTTTTAAAATAATTAGTTTTTGTTTACATTGGTGTTTTGCCTGCATGTATGCCTGTGTGAGGTGTTATATATTGGAGTTACAGACACTTGTTAGCTGCCATGTGGGTGATGGGAATTGAACCCATGTCCTCTGGAAGAGCAACCAGTGTTCTTAAACACTGAGTTATCTCTCCAGCTCCTTGAAGACTTTTAAAAGGGACACACTTATTATTTTAGTTTAATGATGGCATACACCCCTTTTACAGGTCAGCAAAGTATGATTTTACAGATGTGGATGAAGGCTAACTTACCAGAGATGCTCAGTGTGACCATTGTCCAAAGACCTTAGTTTGCCATCTTTGAAAGGATCATTCAGTTTAGTTCAAGTAAACCATGAACCTTGTCATTCTGTTAAATTCTTATATTCTCTGTATGTATAAGAAAAATGAGAAAACTGGACATAGTTGCTTTTTCTGTTTTCAGGTATTGAAAAATACCCAAGTCCCCTTCTTATAAGTCTGTTTGTTCTAAAAAGGTTACTTTGTTATTTGTTAATTATTCTCTGACTGGTAACTTCAGTTTTATAAGTTTTATATTTGACAAAATGAGAACAGAAATACCATTTTTAATTCCTTTTTGAACCCTTAGTAGCATTTAAAATTCAATAAAGATAACTAATACTCCTGGGTATGCACTTTTCCACACCTAACAGTCTGCTAATGAAACTGAACTATATACCCCATGAGCATATATGTATCTGCTATTTATTCATAGAACTTATTTGCTTTATATCAGACTAGTAGTTTGTCAAATAAGTGGTAATAGTACACCTGGTGATGGTGAATGTGCAACTTTTATTATTTTCAACCAATACCAGGCCTCTTAGGTCTGATTCTGAGTCACTTTACAAGATGAGACTGTTAGGAAGAAGGGTTTCAGAGAGAGAGAGAGGTAACAGGTGTATGTATGAAAGAGACTAAAATTCAGCATGTCCATCTATGAAACCATCCAAGCATAGAAAAACAAATAAGCCGGCAATGGTGGTGCACGAATGGTGGCGCACGCCTTTGATCCCAGCACTCAGGAGGCAGAAGCAGGCAGATCTCTGTGAGTTGAGACTAGCCTAATCTACAAGAGCCAGGACAGCCTCCAAAGCCAAGACATTTCTGAGCTTGTTATAATCTGAATAAACTTTTTGGTGGGACCACAGCTATGCCTTTCTTCTACCCTGGAGTACAATCCAAGGTTAGTTACGTGCTAACAACCACTTGCCATAAAACTATGATTCTCAGGAATTTTTGGCTCAGTGTCCTACATGTTAATGGATTGTAAAGACTATAAAAGAGTATTATTCACATAATTTACTCACATGTCAGAATCTACAATAATTTTTAATGATTACATTTTATTGTTTTTAATGTGTGTGATATATGCATGTATGGTATATGTGCCCACTTGTATGTGCAAACATGTACATAACGATGGGTGCAGAGACCAGAAGAAGGTGTGGGATATCTTCCTTTATCATTCTCTGTAATATTCCTTTGAGGCAAGGTCTTTCCCCGATTCTGAAACCTGTTTTTTTGTTTATTTTTTTTATGTATTTATTTATTTGCTTGCAAGCCTCAGCAGTGCCTTTTATCTCTCCTTGTAGCAGTATGGGGGTTACCGGTATGTGGGAGACCATACTTGTTACAAGGGTGCTGGAGTCTGAACTTTGGTGGTCTGGTTAAACAGCAAGCACTCAACCACTGAGCTATTTCTACAATCCCCTTCCCCCACTGACTTTAAAAATTATCTTTTGGAATAATAAAAACTGAATAATGTTTTGGGCAGCACACAAAGAAGTGATGTTTCATACATGCCCATCATTCCACTTCATCTTTATTCATCCTCTACTGTCATTTCTTTCCTTTGCACTTCTCTTGCTGGTCACCTGCCTTCATCCCCAGCTTGTACCATATTTATTTTAATATTTGATGCTATGTTCCTATATATGCCAAAAGTGGATTGGCATTGCAGAATGATATCTATGGAACAATTTGGTGAATGTTTTCATAGCTATGAATCTGTATATGGATTTTTTATATTATCTGTTGTAGCATACTATATCAAATAGATAAATTTGCATGTGATACATGTATATGTGTGTGCCCACACCTGCATGTATGGAAGCCAGAGGTCAATAGCATGTACTTTTATTGATTTCTAGCTTATTTTTTGAATCATAGTCTCTCTGAATCAGGAGCTCACCAATGGGTTAGACTGGCTGATCAGTGAACTTCTAGGATCCCTGTCTGCTTTCTAGTGCTGAGATGTCAGGCATGTGTGATCACCCTTGACTTTCTTTATATGAGTGTTAGGGTTGAAGCAAGCACTACTTACCCTGTGAGCCATTTTCATAGCCCCTCAATTATATAGTTGAAACGACAATGTTATGTTTAATATTTTTATGTATTAACAAATGGTAAATTTTTATTTTTATTTTAAAATGTGACTGTCCCTCTTGCTATCCTTTCAGTTTTGTCAGCCTGGTGGGTGGCATCTGTCCAGAGAGCGGAAACAGCCAACATTCTTTGTGGTGGTCCTAACAGATATCGACTCAGATCGACATTACTGCTCGTGCCTAACTTTCTATGAGGCAGAGATCAATCTCCAGGTAAAGAAACTTCCCTATCCAAGGATGGGGATAGATGGCATTACAGAATCTTTTACAGTCAATATTTGTTATTGTTAAAATTGAAAATTTCATGCTGTCCTCTAAAAAGCTTGAGGATTGTATATGTTTAATGTTGGAGAAGGAGCAATGAAATAGAAATTGGCAGTTTAACTGTCCTAATTTAAAATAGTGGTCATATTTGAATTAATGTATCTGTGAAGTAGTTACTAAGATTAGTTACCTTTGGTGGTAAACTATCACAGTTCTCCTACACATACTTCATGGGACACAATTTATCACAGTGTTTCACATTATTGTTACTCTCTGAAATCCATATCCAAGCACTGAAGAAATTTACAGTCCCTCCTCTTTTAGACCAGTGATTAAGTTCCTAGTTTTCAGGCAACTAGTTTAATTTCTCTAATTTAAGCAGAAATATCAATGACAAAATGTTGGGCTATTTATGGAAGTTCAGGGATGAGGAATGAGCAGGGGTTCATATTCTGAGTGTGAGGGATAGTCCCTAGAAGTGACATTTATGCCCTATTTTAAGCCACTGGCACTTTGTGGAGCTTGATATCAATCAGTATAACTCCACCCTAGTTGCCCTAGAATATTCCATCTCCCCTGAGTGCTTCCTGACACACACCAGAACTTCTGCTTTGATGTTTCAAGTGGGTTTCCTCTTTGGTAGAAGTTAAGAGTCTTATACCCACTCATGTGAAAGGGAGTAATAAACATGACATAGTTTCCTTAGTGGTGGTGTGGTGCCAGTAACTTGTTGGTTCATTTGGCTCTTATTTGATAATATAGAAACTGCACAGAACTTTGGAGTTATTAATAGTTGTGAGCTGCCATGTGGGTGATGAAAATTGAACCCATGTCCTCTGGAAGAGCAACCAGTGCTCTTAACCACTAAGCTATCTCTCCAGTCCCCTATGTCCATATTCTTAATAACTCCCTTGAGTTGTCCAATGGAAACTAAATGATAATTTGACTTCTCCCTCCTCTCTTCTTCACATGCATTCAGCCCTCAGATAAGCTGATAGAAAGGCAGTATATTAAAACATCATTAAGTAAAACAGGATTGGTAGGTGGATATATGCTTATAATTCCAGAATTAGCAAGTCTGAAGCAGAAGAATTGAGAATATGGAGATACCCTGAGCTACATGGTGAGGCTGTCTTAAAAATAAAAAGAAGGAAAAACAGGAAGGAAAGAAAGAAGGCCCACCAACTAAAGTAAAAAAAAAAAAAAAAAAAAAAAAGAATACTTCCTAAGTATGTTCCTTCCAGTAGTGTCCAAGGGTACACATTTGGATGCATTTTATATCTGTTTGTCCCTTACTGCTGGTGTTCATTTGTTAGACTGTTAGATTGTTATAGTTGCAGGTTCTTTTTTTCAGTTGCAACTAATAAATATTCCAAGGAAGGTAATTAATATATATCCCGTTGCTTGTCACTCATGGTCCCCTTGATTTAGTATTTAGTGTTGACTCTGCCTCTGTCTTATTAGTCAATAGTTGACTTTTTTGTTTTTTGTTTGAAGCAGGGTTTCAATGTGTAACTTTGGCTGTCTTAGAACTCACTATGTAGACCAGATTATACTTGAACTCATAGAGAGCCACTTGCCTTGACCTCCCAAGTGCTGGGATTAAAGGTGTGTGCCACCATGCCCAGCTAGTAGTTGGCTTTTTAAAATTAATTAATTTTTCATATAGAATATTTTGGTCATGTTCTCTCCTTTCTCCAACTCTTCCCAGATTCTCCTTACCCACCCAATTTGATGTTTTTTTCTCTTTTTCCCTTGCTCTTCCACAACGCCCTCCAAAAATTAAGATCAAATCAAAACAAATACTTTTAAATAATCACAAATAAAAGGATCTGTTTATGTTTGTCATCTACTCCTGGACAAGGGGCCTGCTCTGGAGTGTTGTTGATACACCCAGTGACACTCCACTGGAAAACTGATTTTCCCTTTTTCAGTAGTTATCACTTGTAGATCCCTTCTTAGTCAGAAGTAGGATTTTTGTGTCTGCTTTCTCCTTCTCCAGTGCTCAGATTTTGTCTGGTTTGAACCTGTGTAGGTCTTGTGTATGTTGTCACAATCTCTGCAAATTCATATGTAAGTATATCAGCACTGTTGTATCTGGAAGACACTGCTTCCTTGGAGTCACCCACCATATGTGGCTCTTACAATCTTTCTGCTGTCTCTTCCACATAGATCCCTGAGTCTTGAGGGGAGGGAGTCAATAAAGGCATCCCATTTAGGGCTTAGAGCTCCAAAGTAGCTCAGTCCTATACATTGTCCAGTAGTTCAATATCACCTGCTCCAAAAAGAAACTTCTTTGATGAGAGTTGAACAATGTTCTGTTCTGTTCTAATAGCAATATATCATTAGGCATGATTTTATAATGGAAGTAGGTTTAGCCCTAGACCCCATGACTTATCTCAGATTCTTGACCACTTTAGAAGTGTCAGGTGTGGGTTTTATCTCACAGTGACAATTAAAAAAAAAATGGTTGGTTACTCTCATGACATTAGTGCCACTATTATACCAGTATATCTTGTAGGCAGGTTACTGTTGTAGATTACAGGGTTTGTAGCTGGAGATATTGGTGATGGCTTTTCTGTTAGCATGTAAAGTACCTTCCAACAACCTAAACTCCAGTCAGTAATGCTGAAGCTTCTAGTTGGGCACCTGCTTGCTTTTATCATGTTCAGTGACATAAAACTGTGTCATAAAGAGCAACCAATAACCTTGGAAATAGCCTGTGATGTTTGTGGCGGGTGGGGGGCTTCTATAGGACCCCTTTGGCCAATGACTCAACAAGATATAACTCATTCTTAGCACTGGAGACTTTATTTGGTGGCTTAAGATGTCTAGTTAGCACATTGTTTCCTCTATTATATGGTGACTCCATTTAAATTCTTTTCACACATGTTTATATTTTAGGAACCTTCTACTGTGGTATGTTTCCATATGGCTTTTCAAAAGACCTTTGATGTTTGTTGTCTTTTCCCATGTTCCCTCCTGTACCCTGTCATCCCACCCCCACTTCCCATTTAATCCTCCTATTTATATTCTTCTTTATGTCTATATAACACTATACTCTCCTTCCTTGGAAGATCCTCTCTTCCTTGCTGATTCCTACTAGCCACCTGGAAGATGGAAAGACCTCTCATGCTCTTATATCAGTAGGATTAAAATTGTGAAAATGCTATCCTAACAATCTATAGATTCAGTGCAGTGACCATCAAAATTCCAACACAATTCTTCACCAAAATTGAAAAATCAGTCTTCAGCTTTATGTGGAAATTAAAAAGTCCAAGATATCTAAAATGAGCTTGAATATTAAAAGAATTGCTGGAGGATATCACCATCCCATAGAGCTACATTAACAAAAACAGCTTGGTATTGGCATAAAAACAGACATGTTGAACAATAGAATTGAATTGAATACCCAGACACAATTCTATACACCTACAGACACTTCATTTTCTACAAAGAAGCTAAAAATACACACAGGAAAAAATTGCATCTTTAACAAATAGTCTGGTCTGCTATATAACTGCATGGAGAAGGAAAAAATAAATTCATGTCTGTCACTCTGCACAAAACTCAACTATACATGGATCATGTACCTCAAACATAAGGCCAGATACACTGAATCTGAAATAAGAGAAAGTGTGGGATAGCCTTGAACTCATTGACACAGGAGAGGAATTTCTGAACAGAACATCATTATCATAGGTACTAAGAACAACAACAATAAATAAATGGGACCACATGAAGCTAAAAAGTTTCTATATAACAAAAGATACATCATTCAAACAAATCAGAAGCCTACAGAATGAGGAAAAAAATCTTGGCCAATTATACATTTTATAGAGAGTTAGTATCAAGAATAAAGAAGTTTAAAAAAAAAAAAACCTCAAAACTGAACATTAAGAAAGTAAATAACCCAAATTAGAAAATTGGGTTTTAGAACTAAAGAGAGAGTTCTCAAAAATTGAAACACAATTGGCTGAGAAGCAGTTAAAGGAGTGTTAAGGGATTCATATAAGGTCCCTCACAGAAGGGGGAAGGGACAAGTTCTCCAGAGCACATGGGAAGTGGGGGCAGGCAGTGAGTGGAGAGGGAACTAGGAGAAAGAGAAGGGGAGGGGAGGAAAGCACATGGGACTAGGATGATTGAGTCAGGGAAGGAATAAAAGACAGAAAACAGAGAGTGAGGGAGGGAGGGAAGGAGAGAGAGAGAGAGAGAGAGAGAGAGAGAGAGAGAGAGAGAGAGAGAGAGAGAGAGAGAGAGAGAACATAAAAAAGGGAGCAATTATAGGATTGAAGAGAAAACTGAACCTAAAGAAATGTCTAGAGACCTACAAGGCTGCCGCCAACTAACAATTTGAGCAACAATGGATGGAAAGGCTACCATAAATGCCCTTCCCTGATAGTGAGATCAACAACTAACATATCCACTGTCATGGAGCCCTCATCTAGTACCTGTTGGAAATAGAAGCAAACACCCACAACTAAACTCTGAGTTGAACTAGAATCCAGCTGCAGAGGGAGAGGATAAGACCAGGCTGCAGAAACACATAGAGATAAGTGACCTGAACAAGGAGGAGCTAATGGGCCCCCCAGACTGATAGCTGGGAATCCAGCATGGGACTGACTCAGACCCCCCTGAACATGGGTCTCAGCCAGAAGGACTGAGCAGTCTAAGGGACCTCAGACAGTGGAACTAGGATGTATTCCTGGTACACAAAAGGACCCTGCAGGCACATCCCCCATGGAGGGATACTTCCTTAACCTAGAGACAGGAGAGAAGTCCTAGTCCCTACTTCAAATAACTTGGTAGATTTAGATGACTCCTCCTGGATGGCATCACCCTACATGTGGAGTGGGGGGGGGATGGGATGGGAGGGGAGGGTGGTCGGGTGCATGTGAGGAGAGGAGGGAGGGGAGGAGGGAGGGAGAGGGAACTGGGATTGGTATGTA